AATACTGCTGCTCAAAGATGCTTTTCGATATGTTGTATTGAGGGGAAGGTAGGTTCTAATTGGTGTTCAACTGGAAAACACAACCATACCCATTGTTCATACATTTGAAGCATAGTCTGGTTTTGTTCTTGATTAGTTGGTTGACAGACTGCTAATACCTCATAGACAGTTTAGTATTAGGACTGTTGTATACTACCATAGCCAGTTCTTTGCAAACTTCTAAGTGAACTAATCACGACAAGACTAAACTATGTAGACAGTCTTTTGTAAATGTTGTAGGTTGCCACTTGATCGGTCAAGTAGGGGACCTTTCAGACACATTTATTTTTAGAAAATTAGGTGCCGATCAGACACATGCTGTAGTAGGACTCCAGTAGGGAGTTGTAGTGCAGATAGTGTTTGCCTACTAACTGATGAGCGGGTCAGACACCGATGAGGGTAGAGTTGACAATGCGAGACTGACACGTTCGAGATCACGTAGGGTCCCGCACGTATTCCAGACCCTACAACCAGGAGATGAAGCTCGGCTTCGTGCCGAACGTAGAGCCCGTGCTCTTGCAGCAGCGAGGGCAGCAGCAAACCTAACAGCTAGAGAACAGGCAGCAGCAGCCAGAGCAACAGCAATGGCTAATGGCGCAGCCTCTGCTGCATCCTCGTCTGGGACTCAGTTGGGGATGCCCCTTGGATCCCCAGGCACTTCCGGATCAACAGGTTCTGGTCAGTCCACAAGTCAAATGGCGGGCTCGCAGTTAAGCCCGTTGACCCAACGAGGTAGGGAGCTCCTAGAGCTCCAACAGGTCGAAAGGATCCGCGAGCGGTTAGAAAGGGAACTGAAACAAGCAACCGACAGAGAAAGGGAAATCAAAAATAGAATAGCCAGGCTTGATACGTTAGAGGCAGACAAAGATGCATTAGAGGGTTTGGATGAGTCAACCATGACTGATCAAGTGAAAATATTGAAGAACAACATGTTGTCGCTGCAAGCGCATGTGGACAGAAGGCTGGACTTCATGCAGAACTCTTTAGACCAGATCTTGGACCTTTTGCAAAGGCCAGGATTTAGGCCAGCAACGCAGTCGCCGTTGCCGTTAATGGCGATGTCAGGCCCCTTTCCGGTACAAGCTGACACACAGCCAAGTGGTACGTCAGCAGCAGCCGCACAGATTGTTGCTTCTTCTTCTTCTGGATCAGCGGTGGTTGCTACACCATCACCGCAATAATCTGTTCCTCAACAGGGACAGCAGCAAGGTCAATGGTACCCAAAGACCCCTATGAAACCGCCCCTTGCCTTCTCCGGAGAGAAGAAGGACGAGGAACTGAACACATGGTTGAGAACGGTTCCAGTATGGGTAAAGGCGAAGAGGACTTTGCAGGAGGAGGAGGTGATTACTGCTGCATCTTACCTTGAGGGTAAGGCAGCCATACGGCTGGATGGTTTAGTCGCAAAGGCCGGGTACGGACGACGCATGGCGAACTAGGCTAAGACCATTACGTTAGACCAGTTCTTAGAAATGGTAGAAGCTCGTTGGCACAATCCACAACAGGCACAAATTGCCACTGATGCGATGCACAGACTAGACCAAAGAAACTTCAAGTCAGTCAGAGAGCTTACGACTACCGTAGAGAGCCTCATCGTCGTTCCTGGCATAAACTACGATGACCAGTTCTTGCTGACCACGTTTGTGAGATGTCTCCCAGAGAATCTCAGAAATTTGCTGGCCAGCGAGGCTCGCCTAGAGTATCACTCATTTGAGACCTTATCTAGAAAAGCCTTAGATCTAGAGGCCACTCTAGGAAGTGTTCAACCTACTTCAGTTGACGCGAGGAAGAAGAAGAGTCCACATGAATGGAAGAAGAAGGGGAGCAAATTGATGATGGTTGAGTCCGATGGGACTCAAACAGAGGTCGAAGAGCTCACAGGCCTGTTGGACTATTCAGAGTACGATGGCGAGGAGATCGCTGAGGGTAGCACCCTCACCGCAGTAGTAAAGACTAAGGAAGGTGGCCGAGGGAAGGGTCATCAAAAGAGTCAAGGGCAGGCCGCCTCCAATCAGACCAAAGTTGTTGATTGGACCAAGGCAGGTCTTGATCAAGAAGTGTGGCGGGATCGAAGAGTGCGTGGTGTTTGCATTAACTGTGGTGAATACGAACACACCCAGTACAAGTGCAAGAACGAAAAGGTCACGCAGAAGATACCTCCTAAGATGGGGGCACCTTCTTCCCAGGCTTTTCGCTCGGGAAACACGTGAGGCCGGTGGAAGTTTTAGCTGCTTCTACTCATGGTGAAGTGGGTCAGATACCCTCCCCACTTCATGAGATGGCCATAGCTAAAGACTCTTTAGTCACCCTGCAGACTCATCCAGACCAAACTATGCTCTATATGTTGGATGTGTCTGAAACCTTAGAAGATTTGGAGAGTGAGTGGTCAAGCAAGGACCCTCGTGAATCTTGGGTGGCACTAAGGAAAGGAGGGGAACATTTCGTTGCGGAAGTTGATGTAGGAGGCCGCAAATGTGGTGCCTTCATAGACATCGTCTCCACGCGGAACTACATAAGTCGCGACTGTTTGGAAAGGCTGCACCTACAGGACCGGGTACAACACCTTAGTAGACCCGTAGCATCTACTTTGGTCAATAAGGAGCGCATGATTGTCATAGACTTTATGAAGGATGTAGTCTGCACCTTCTCCTACGGAGGAGGGGAACTTAATCACAAGATTTCGTTCCTGGTTAGCGATGACTTACCGTTTGATATGTTGTTAGGAATGTATTACCTTGAGATTGCCAAGTCCCAGTTTGACTGGGACAAGAAGGTGCTAAAGCATAAGTTGTCTGATGGAAGAACAGTTAGACTGACTAAGTTCAACGTCAATAGTATAATCGATACCTATGGCTGCTTGTGTGCATCAACATTCTATAACTATTATAAACAGAACAAAGAGGAGGGTATGTACCTAGTGTATGTCTCTGAGAAAGGGGCGGCCGTTAAAACACCCCCAGAGATAGAACACGGCGTTGCTAAGTTCCCTTATCTGTTTAAGGAGCCTACAGGAGTCGTAGATTGTCCACGCCATAGAAATCAATCCAGGGAGTAAAACCCCAAAGGGAAGAATCTATGGGATGACTCCGGCCGAGTTGGACGAGCTTCGACGACAACTGAAAGAGCTTACAGAGAAGGGATGGATCCGGCCGAGTACTTCCCCCTACGGATCTTCAGTGCTATTTGTACCGAAGAAGGGGGGTACCTTGAGGATGTGCATTGATTAAAGAGGCCTCAATGCCATCACAGTGGAAAACGCAGAGCCTCTACCTCACATAGACGACCTATTGGATAGAGTGCAGGGATGTAAGTACTATAGCAAGATAGACTTAAAATTCGGCTACCATCAGATTGCAATAAGACTTGAGGATCAACACAAGACTGCTTTTCAGACCAGATACGGTCTGTATGAGTTTGTAGTGATGCCCTTTGACCTTTGCAATGCACCGGGTACATTCCAGCATGCCATGAATAGGATCTTCCATGACCACTTAGATAAGTTTGTCGTAGTCTACCTTGACGATATTCTTATCTTTAGCAAGTCGGTCGAAGAGCATGCACAACACGTTGAGACTGTACTTTCACTCTTGCGACAACACAAGTATAAGGTCAACCTAGAGAAATGTGAGTTCGGATGCACTAAGATTTTATACTTGGGTCATGAAGTATCCGCGGAAGGTATTAGGCCGGAAGATGCAAAGGTGGCTAGTATCAGGGACTGACCAGTGACCACGACCTCGGACTGTTACTGAGGTCAGATCTTTCTTAGGAATGTGCGGCTACTATAGGAACTTTGTGAAAAATTATTCCACAATCGTCTCTCCTTTGACTGATCTAACTCGACTTGACACGCCATGGGACTGGAGTGATGAGTGTGAGGCTGCTTTCAAACGATTGAAGCATGCACTCATGAATCATGAGGCTCTCATGGTGCCAGATCCTCAGAAGTCATTCATAGTGACCACTGACGCAAGCCAATACGGCATTGGCGCAATGCTGACTCAACAAGATGGGAAGAAGTTGAGGCCGACTGAGTACATGAGAGAGAAAATGCCATCAAAGAAACTGGCAAAGTCGACCTATGAAAGGGAACTCTATGCTCTCTACAAAACACTTGTTCATTGGAGGCACTTTCTATTAGGAAGGTTCTTCTATTTGAGAACCGACCATCAGACCCTAAAATGGATCAAGACTCAACCGGCTCTCTCTGATGCACTCAAGCGATGGATTAAGGTCATAGATCAAGCTAGAGTATCTGAAGGGAGAGTACAACAAGGTTGCAGATGCACTGTCATGTAGAGCAGACTACCTAGGCGCGCTAGTTTCTGATTTTGGTGTATCTGAGGAACTAACTCAATCATTGGTGGGAGCCTATCAGGAAGACCCTGTCACGATGGACATCATACGCAAACTTCAGGCAAAAGACAAGGCCACAAAAAATGAGTTTGTGATGGTGGACGAACTTCTCTTTCTTGATAAGACCGGAGTTAAAAGGTTAGTTGCTCCATCTAGTGAACGTTTGCATAGTTTATTCTTAGGAGAATGTCATGACGCAACCGGACACTTTGGTTACAAAAAGACGAGTGTTAATCTAGTACAGCGATTTTGGTGGCCTGGAATGCTAGATGACGCAAAGAAGTATGTAGAGACTTGTCTGGTCTGTCAGCGGAACAAGCCGCGAACTCAAGCACCGCTTGGGTTGCTGAAGCCTTTACCTATCCCCGCCGGTGTATGACAGAGTCTTTCCATGGACTTCATGGACACCCTGGTGACCAGTAGGAGTGGCAAGAGACACATCTGTGTCATCATTGATCGATTCACCAAATACGCTAGACTAATTGTCATGCCAGAGACCACAAGGACTGACCACGTCATCAAGTTGTTTATGGACAACTGGGTACGTGATTTCGGACTACCAAAGTCAATCGTTAGTGACAGAGATGTCCGCTTCACAAGTAAGCTATGGAAGAAGACTGTTGAACAGATGGGCAGTCAACTTCAGATGACTTCAGGGAATCATCCCGAAGCCAACGGACAGGCCGAGCAAATGAACAGAGTTGTACAACACCTGCTGAGGCATTACATCAAGCCCAGTCAGGATGATTGGGATGAGAAGTTGCCTCTCATCGCCAGCTTGTACAACAACGCTGTACACAGCAATACCGACGTTAGTCCTAATCAGTTGCACTTGGGATGGAAGCCTAGATCAGCTCTGGACTTCCTCCTACCTGAAAACCGACCCTTTGCAACTCCAGGCACACTTGAATATGGTATGCAGTATGAGAAGTTGTTGCAGCAAGCTGTCGAGCACATCAAGAAAGCTCAGCAAGCAATGATTACCTCTGAGAACAAACATCGTCGGCAGTCCTCATTTCAGGTAGGGGAACGTGTCTGGGTCAAGGTTAGTGAGCTAGGACAGGAATTCGGAATCTCTCGTAAACTAATGCCTCAGTATTTTGGTCCCTGGGAAGTCTTGGACATAGTCGGGGATGAGTTGGATGGTCCTACCTATGTTATCCGCATCCCTGGTCATCTGCGCACTCACCCTGTCTTTCATGCCTCAAAGCTTGCACCTTTCGCTAAGACAGATCAATTTCCTTCCAGGAAATCAATGCTGCCCCCAACCATGGATGGTCAAGTGGACATCGGCGACATTGTGGATCACAGAGATCTGCCTGTTCCAAAGCCACTGGGTAGAGGAAGACCTCCAAAACCCAAGCGGGAGTATCGCGTCAGATTCAGGCATCATATGGATCCGAAGGAAGATCGGTGGTTTACCAGAGAGGAACTGATTGACACAGCTCCTCAAGTGGTGGCAGAATATGAGAGGATGTTAAGAGGGAAGACACCTGCGAAGTAAGCATCTCAGCGGACTTTCGAAGCTAAGGGGGATGGAATGTGAGGATTGAGCCCTCAAGAAGGGGCCTTGCCATGATGTACATGTTCTGGGCTAAGGCCCCAGCAAGCCTCGTGCCCGCCCTAAGTGAAGGCG